CTCCCACCAGCCAATCGATACCAGTTGCCTCCCTGCGAGTAATTGGAGAGCGGCGGCTGGCAGAGCGAACCCTGACCCCCCCACCCCGCAGCATTACAACGCCCATATGAAGACAGATTGCCTGATTTAGTGTAAACATATGCTGCAATTCCAGGCATCAGTGCCACTTTCTCCATCGTAATTTGTATTGATTTTTCTCCCTCTCTCCTCTGAGTGTGAGGAGGCCGGGGCCGAGGCTTTCTCCTGCTGTCTGATGCTTTTTATAAATCAGAAAAGGAGGAGAGGGAGATAATTCAGAGGTGAGAGGAGGGAGAGACACAGGAGGGGGATTCCTTATACTTTATATTTATTTAAAGTATTTATGGCTGTCTCTGTTAGCTTTTTCTCTCTGCTCACGGTGAACGTGATCAAATGGTTGGTCGGGGTCCTGCTGATCGGAGTGCTCTGTTATTAGGCGACTAAGTGAGTGAGGAGAAGAAGAGGGAGAGAGATGGCAGAGGAAGAAAGGGGAGGCGGGCTGTGTGTTAAACTAATTCCTTGACGGCAGATTTGCAGCACGGGAGGAGACGAGGAATCGCAGCGAGTGGCAGGTCAGACCTTGGATTATTCAGCTGTGGATATTTACACATTTACAGTCAGTGCGGAAAGTTTCAAACCCTTTCAGGTTTTCCACCTTTTGTTATGTTGCGGACTCATCCTAAATTTTATACCTCATCAGTCTACACACAATGCTCCACGATGAAAGTGAAGACATGATTTTTGAGTGTTTAGTAAATACCAGACTGAAATGTCCCATTTACATCAGTATCCAGACCCTTCACTTGGCTAAAGCACCTTTGGCAGCAGCGACAGCCTCAAGTCTCCTTAAGAACGAAACAACAAACTCAGCGCCGTCCTTCTGGAATTTTCTTCCATTTTTCTTGGCAGAATCGTTCCAGGTCAGCCAGGTTAAATGGGGGATGGGGGTGGGGGGACGGTGGTACACGACCATGTTCAGGTCTCTCCAGAGATTCTCTGTTGGGTTCAGGTCCGGACTCTGGCTGGGCCGCTCCAGGACTTTCACAGCGTTTTCCTGAAGCCCCTCTTGTTTTCTTGGCGGTGTGTTTCGGGTCGTTGTCTTGTTGAAGTTGCCCCCGTCTGAGGTCCTCAGCACTCTGGAGAAGGTTTTGATTGAGGACTGCTCTATGTTTTTCTGCATCCATCCTTCCCTCTGTCCTGACAAATCTCCTAGTGGCCACAGCCTGATGTTGCCTCCACCATGTGTGACTGTAGGATGGTAGTATTGAGGTCATGTTCAGCGCCTGCTTTTCTCCACACACACTGTTGCCAAATAGTTCAGTCTGTTTCATCAAACACGAGGGTTTTGCTTCTCGTGGTCTGACAGTCCTTCAGGTGCCTTTTGGCAAACTCCCAGCAGACTGTCATGGGCCTTTTAGTAGGAGTGGTTTCTGTCTGGCTGTTCTACCCCAGAGGCCTGGTTGGTGGATTCCTGCTCTGGTGTTTGGCCTTCTGGAAAGTTCTCCCATCTCCAGAAAGGAACT